CCCTGGCGACAATTTAGGGGAGACAGGAGGGGGAAAGGATTTGCTGGCGATGCAAAACCTGGCAGGCGCAGTGAAGAATGAACGAGACCAAATGAGGACGAGGACGTGAAAATAGCTTACCTGGCGACAGCGAATTGGCCAAAACTTGGTTGATCTCTGAGCCCGACATGTTTGCCGCTCTCAATGTGTGGTGGTTTGAAGGAGGTAAGGCTGAGCCAGTGCCGATGTTTGGAGAGGTTCGGAGGGGGGCTCGTTGACAGGTTGCACGTGTCAGGAGGTGGGAGGGAAAGGGTTCAGCAAGGCACCGCAGCTGAGGTCAGAGCAAAAGCGGGAGACGCGGGGGTGTTCTGCTGCGGCGGGTGGTCTAGGCAGAGAAGACAGGACCAGAGGTTTGGTTTGGTTGGCGTAAGGTGGTGTGTGAAGCGGGCGCCAGGGGCAGGGTCGGCAGTGCGTTGAGAGAGCAGCGACCTGGAGGATGGATGGGTGAGAATGACCGGAACCGAACGAACGGACGGCTGAGAGGGAAAAGGAAGCGAGAGAGAATGTGCCTGTATTGTATCTGTGTGAGAGAGAGATGACAAAAAAAGGATTCGCTCTGGATTCCGAATTAAAATGATGCGCCAAAGGACGATGTCTCGTGGTAAGGCCTTTTGCAAGAATTAGAGGGCGTACCGTAAAGAAAAGATGGTTGCGACAATAAACAGGCGCGGAAACCGGGTGGTGAGTAATGTGAGGATTTTTATGGTTTTATTTTTTTGCAGTCTCTTCCCTTTGGGTTGGTGAAGGAGAGGAAAAAATAGGAGCGGGACCTTGACGAGGTTGTTGACGATCTCAGGCTGCCCAGTTACAGTGTTGAAATGGCCCGCTACGCAGTTCTAGGGTGCCGCAATAAGGTCAGGTAGGTAAGTACCTCAGCCAGGGACATAAAAGCAGCAGGAGCGATAGAGGAGAACAGTGGAGGACGGGAAGGGAGGAATGACGGTGACAGTGGAAGCATTAGAGACAGCATACAATGGGCGGTGAATACGCATATTCCGCTGGGAAAGGGCACCTCAGGTAGCAGCAGTGGATGTCTACTCGTCACCTTTACTGTTTTTTAGTTCATTTTTGTTGCTTAGGTGCAGCAAGGTCTTGTCTACCGATACCTACTGACGGAGTACCTCATGGACAATACCTTACCTTACCTTCCATACCTTACAGTGCGGGACATGCAGCTCCAAGAGGTACCCGGCATCCATCCAATGGACATGCAAAACCGCCACTTTCTACAGGCTGACGAGGTGACCCGACGGTGGGCAGCCGATAGGGGAGCAAGGGCAAAAAAGAAACGACTGAAAAAATTAAGACGTCGTTAAATGAGTGTGGGGAAGGAGAGAGGTTTCTGATGCACGAAACCGAGGAGGGGTCGTTTCCGTCTGCTTCTAGCTTCGTCCGCTCCTGCGTTTTGGATATTGTTGCCGTACCTTCCCTATGGCTTGGACAGACGAGGAAGGCACGGAAACGAGAAACACTCTTTCCATCTGGAAGAGGACATTTGACATCTTCAACGGCACTGCAAGTCCGTTTGAAGTGTTGCTTTTCTGGCATCCCGTCTATGGTGTCTTTGAACCGTTCATAAGACAGCAAGGGACATGCTGAACTTTCGGCCAAAATATGAATCAACCGAGGGCGGGGAGGGGCAGAAAGTGAATCAAAATAATGAATGAGGCACTCTGTTTTTCCCTTTCCTATTGCGGCATGCCTTTGGCGCCGTGTGGTCCCGCCTCACCTGTACGTATCCGACGGTTGCCTGGGACCAGTCAGAAGTTAAGCGCTCATCACTTAGTACTTCTCTTCCGGTGGATACTGAGTCACATCTCAAGTACCTCCAGATCATCGAATATGGCGTCTCCTGTCTTCGCTCCATCTAAACCCAGATTCATTTCACCAACACCGAAAAGACAGACAGTGAGGCTAACCTCATCAAGGCAGAAACCCCACACAATAGACGGGGAGACTCACAATGGGGCGTCAGGGCTGCAGCTGCGCATGGCGTTGCCGGGCTGCCTTTTGCCCCCTTCGCTTCGTTCTCTCTCAATATCAAGAGTCAGCTATGTTTTCCTGACAGAGACACGGCCGTGGAGAATGCATAAAAATCAAAAATGAAATGGTCTTTGTTCACAAGAATCAAATTCAAATTGTGCACTACGGAGTATTTACTTTTGCAAGCTCCTAGCTCAGCCAAGTCGATGGTAATGGTCAGCAGCCCAATCCAACGCTGCCCCTCTTCTCGGCCCATGTTCCGTACCTACCTTGCTTCACTACCTTACCTTAGCTGACTAGGTATCCATATGGGAGCACTGGAAGCAGGACAAAGAAAAGTACCGCCGGGGTTGAGATAGAGACCATATTCGGGGGTCTTGAGATGACTGTTTGCTTACCGAACCCAAATAATGCAGGTGCGTAAGGCTGCTGGCCGCTGCTGCTTTGTGTAGTCGCTGTCGTCGGTCCGGTTGGATGACAGCCCCCATCCGAGCCCGCAAAAGGTCAGCTCGACGTCATCTCTTTCCCAGGCACCTGGATCCGAGCGCCTGCCTTGGCCTTAAGTTCAACATTCCGCGATTCACGTTGCAAGTTCTGGTCATCTGACTGTTTTTCTGTGGGCACGACTTAGTGAGGTCTCAATGGAATAATATAGATCTTGGCTTGCTGAAGATTGGCCGAATTACCTGCTTGGTGAAAACCAGTGTCAATATTGGTCGAAGGAAAACGACGGGTGGCCCATCAAGTACACCTCGTGACATGGTCTGAAACGTTCTTTGAATGGACTCACTGCTATGTCCTTCGGGAGCAAACACTTGGACTAGCTCTCGATCTCGCCTGGTATCCCACAGGGTAAATACTTGTATGCATCGTGAAGTCTGAAGAATCACGGGTTGTAGCATACGGCTGCTACGTAATAGACGGCTATTAAACTCAATCAACGCTCATTCATGTTATTTTTCCCTCGTCCTCAACAACAGTGTATCGACAGGATTACAATTCATACGCCTACCTCGTGGCATGGTAGTCTTCTGTAATCCGCTTTAAACATGCCACCTTGTGTGTGTATGCTTCTTGGATGACCACAATTGCCACATTTGAGAGTAACGTAGTCCAGGTCAAGAGTAACCAAGCGGTATGAAGAATACAAGCGCGGTCGCCCCTCCGTAGATAGAAGGATAGTTGCCCGTGTGGCAAGGGTCTCTTCAAGATCTCTAGTATTGTTTCCAGTCGAGTCGGCTCTTGAATGGCTATGAGGCAGAGCTGCCTCTCGGATCCCTAGTAAATTCTTACTATTACAGCTTCATGCCGTTGCTTGTACCTCCTTTCCGTTATTCGAAGAGGAATACTTTCGAAATAATGAGGAAGCAGTCTCACATATGCTGCCTTTCAAACCTCTACCCAAGCCCATTCCCATACCCTCTTACATCCACCGCCGGAAACCCCCCGCTGGAAACCCCCCGCTGGAAACGTGAAACAGTGACATTAGACTGGGCGATCGTGCCCTTCACATCCTCCAGGCTAATTATGTGCTTAGAAAGAAAGAACTAGGCATGGACCGCCTCAGATTCTTTATATCGTAGGGGAACCTCACCTGATGCTCCAAGGGCAAGAAAGACACAACCAAGAAGGATGAGGATCACCAGTCTCTAGATCTAGAGTACAGACTGATCCACCCAGGACCCCGAATGGAGCTTAGGTCTATACATCGACACTCGATATGCACCCGGTCTTGAAGCTCTCTACCGCCTCGATCACTGGTTAATAAAGCGAACACGAACCATGACTAGATCATGAGCCCTGTCCATCTACTCAAACTCCTTCAGGTCTACTAGTCCTGTTTCAAACGACAACAAAAGATCCCCCATCCACAGGGGGGATGAGAAGAACAGTCCAGAGGGAGATCATCCCAGACCTATAAAACCCGCCGCCGTGCCGCATCTATTCTTCCCTCGGCAGGCGACCAACGAAGGCCCAGGCGGAAGAGGAGCAATGCGGCTTGGTGCGAAGTTATTGGCCTGACGTCGCGTTGACGTTGGCTATCTACGGCCCTTTATACTAGATCGTAACAGAGCTCCAGGGCAGGCTCTTATAGCACATCCACTGACAACCCCCCTCTTCTCCCCTAGGGTGTTCATCTCAGAATACGGCCAAGATGGCAGATAGAGTACATCTATAGGTAAATCCATAATCATCCTAGCGACAACCTTTTGGTCTACTACGAGGACAAGTCGGGGGGTCCTGCATAGCTACCTTCGGACCAGAAAGACCGAATGTCTTCTTACGTCGGATGCCTCCCTCTGGCAATCACAATTGCACACAAGGTGCTTGCAGAGCTCTCGTTTTACTTGACTGGTGATTGTTTTTATATATAGACATGAAGATACCTACCTACCTAAGATTGAACTTCCAGCATTAGAACTTTCAACTTTTCACTGACAGCCTTCGACTTCCATAACGAAGTCTGTACATATCGCAGAGAGAAGAGGTTATGAGCGTGGGTCGATAAAATAGACAAGTCTTGTAGAGCCCGCGTCTTGAACTGTCGCCAGCTCACCTTCAGCTCCGATTAATCAGTGAAGGGGGAACAAACCAGCATACTTTGAGACGTTTTTTCCATTGACACGACTGATCAATATAGAAAGGGACAAGACCCCTCGCACATGTTACTACATCACCGGCAATCGACATAGTATCATCTCATCATACATGCCATTCGTTTGTCCTTATGTTTTGTGACTATCTCTCTTCCCCCCTGGATATGCATTTTGAACCAAACTTTTCTCATGTCCCTATATGCTTGAAAAACAAAACCCTTACTCGATGGTAATTCCATTCCCTTCCCTTACAAGCCGTTCGCCTTCTCTTCCAGGACGGATACAACACTCGGGACCTCGCCGTTGGTTCCGTTCGGTGTCTCAAGGTCCAGCTCCTGGCTCATGGATCTTGAGGGGATAGGCTTTCCGATGATAGGGCTACCGGGGCGGCTGCCAACGAACTGTACAAACGAATATTAGTACTCAGAGTAATGTAGAGATAAAAAGGGGACTCGACTTACGTTGCTGGCGGCACTCAACAAGGCCGTCAGAGAACTCTGGACCACATCCTCGTGGATGCCGATACCCCAGTACTTCTGCTTGGTGCCGGTGGCCGTGCACTCAATGTACGTGGCGGCCTTGACATCACGACCGGCACCAATGGCGTGCTCCTTGTAGTCCTCGACATCCAAGGTGACGCCCACGCTCTTGAGGGCGTTGGCCAAGCTGGAAATGGGACCGTTGCCGCGGCCGCGCAGCTTGTACTCCTTGCCGTCGATGGAGACGACGCCCTCAAACACACGCTTGAGGTTCTTTGTGTCCTGGGTCTTGCCGGGCTGGGGCGGCGCCGGGGACTGCGAGCGGTCGGGCGCGATGCTGTAGTCGACAATGGTGAAGCGCGGGTTGTCGCGGAGGTAATACGTCGACTCGAAGAGATCCGTGATCTCGTCCGAGAGGAGCTCGCGACCGAGCTGGTCGGCCTTGTCCTGGACAACCTTTGAGAAGGCGACTTGCAGGCCGCGGGGGAGGTCGAGCGAGAGCTTGCGCAGGATGATCCAGGCGGCGCCGCCCTTGCCGGATTGGGAGTTAACGCGGATGATGGCCTCGTAGGTGCGGCCAATGTCGGTGGGGTCGAGAGGGAGGTAGGGGATTTGCCAGTGCTCGTCGTTGGACTTGACGGTCGACTCGCGGACCTGGAAGCCCTTCTTGATGGCATCCTGGTGGGAACCGGAGAAGGCGCAGACCACGAGGGAGCCGCCGTAGGGGGCACGGGGGTGGACGGGGATCTTGTTGCAGACCTCGACCATGTCGATGACGCGGTTCAAGTCCGAGAAGTCGACGTTGGGGTGGACGCCCTGCGTGTACAGGTTCAGACCGAGGGTGACGAGATCCACGTTGCCGGTGCGCTCGCCATTGCCAAACAGGCAGCCCTCGACGCGGTCGGCGCCGGCCATCTGAGCCAGCTCTGCGGCGGCGACGGCGCATCCGCGGTCGTTGTGGGGGTGGAGGGAGACGGCGATCTTCTCGCGCTCGGTGACATTTCTGCAGAAGAACTCGATCTGGTCGGCGTAGACGTTGGGGGTGGACATCTCGACGGTGGCGGGAAGGTTGAAGATGATGGGGACCTCGACGGTGGGCTCCCAGGCGGCCTTGACGGCCTCGCAGATGCGGACGACGAACTCGGGGGAGGTGTCGGAGAAGGTCTCTGGGCTGAACTCGAACTGCCAGTTTGTGCCGGACTGCGAAGGGTCGTCCTTCGTCAAGGAGCGCACCAGCTTGGCGCACTTGACGGCGAGCTCAACGCTCTCGTCTTCGCTGAAACCAAATACTACCCTGCGGAAGCACTCGCTCGTGGCGAGGTAGATGTGGACGATGGCGTTCTTCGCACCCTTGAGGGACTCTACTGTCCTTCTGATGAGGTCCTCACGGCAGGGGGAGAGAACCTGGAGGTATACATCGTCGGGGATGGCGCCGGGGGTCTCGATGAGGCGACGGGTGAAGTCGAAGTCGGTTTGCGAGGCCGAGGGGAAGGATACTTCAATTTCCTTGTAGCCCAAGTCGCACAGCATCTTGAAGTAGCGCCACTTCTCGTCACCGTTCTGTGCAAGAAAGCCATGTTAGTGCCGCCGCTTCGAGATGCTCGAGGAGACCATGGAGCAGACGAACCATTGGGTCAACCAAGCTCTGGTTGCCATCGCGCAAGTCGGTCGACAGCCAGCGCGGGGCTTTTGTGATGGTCTTGGAGGGCCATTGACGATCCGGGAGGTTCAGAGCCGGGAAGGGCTTGTATTTCTTCCACGGTTCCTTGAGCCTGGTATCACAGCAATGTCAGTATGAGATCTCCAGGGCAAGTTGTGTCTGGTTTGTCGTGTGGTTTTTGGGCGGCATTTGAGTCACCTACATGGGCATCTTGGGCGAGTGCGGGGCAGATTTTCAAGTAGTGGACGGAGGGGCGGATCTGTTCCTGGTGGGATGGCGTCACAGTTCGGTTTGGAGAAAACGGGAGAGAGATAATAGCTTGACCGACTAGAAGAAGCGAAAAGGTCAGAAGCTAAAGAGGGTATTTGTAGAAGAAGAGTCGATGGGATTGTACTTCAGAGTCAGGGGTGGAAGGGAAGGATAGGAAAGGGAAAAAGGATTGAGTCACAAAGTTCGTAGTCGCAAAGATCCGGGGACTACGAGCACGGAGGACGTGGAGAGACATGGCCGGCCCCCCCTCTTCCACCAGAAACGGCATCAAGGGCAGGGAGCGGACCAAAGGTGTATGCATGTACCTCACACGTTGACAATGATTCAATCTCTCGCTATTACTTGTATTTTATTTTGGATCTTTTGTTTTGCTGGATTGGATAGAATCTTGTCATTAAAGCGGCCACTCGCATGTCTAGACTTTACCATCACTCCACTTACTGCCATTGCCTGTCACCGTATGGCACAACTACACGCACCTAGAAGACTTCAATCCCGTCCCGCATGCCGGCCGGGGAAAACAACACAAGGCACCATCAAGGCAAGTTATCAAACCATTGGATGGATGTACATGCAGTCTGCCCTTCCCGCAGCGCAGGGCCGCAAATCGCTGCCCAGCTCCTTCGCATTGGACGAAGGCAGTTGCACCAGCCGCAACTGCCACCCAAAATCTCTTTTCTATTTTCCATAACCAAGAAAATCTTTTTTACTTTTCTTTTTTTACCCTCCTTCGCCCTTTCTCCAAATTCAATGTCAAGGCGGGGCAACGCCCGTGCCCACAGTCTCCACATTACGCCCTCTGGGACGCCCTCTCGACGACATTCAACGGTTCTGATTGGCTGGTGTCACCGGTCGCGGATGGCGGGGTTAGTAGTTGCGCATCAGCAGGCGGGCAGGCACATAGGAGAGCGATGCTGTCATCGCGGCCAATTGCAGTGCAACACGGCTATTACTCGGCCGTCACACCAATAGTTGTCTGTAGTCAGAATCGCACACTCCTATCAATTCCGTTCTGGCCTTCGTCTGATTTCTCACTCGTGGTAGAGGCTGCATATACTGACTCGTCCTCATCGTTGCAAGTACTCGAAGAAGACGGTCACTCCTTGTAAAGCTCGGCCGCATGATGCCCTTCCAGAACACTTGGAAACCCACTACAGCACCAAGCTTGCTGTTCAATCTGAAAGCCATATTTGATAATAGACACTACAAGGGGAGTTGTCGTTGAACGCACCTATGCCGAACCTAGCCGCCCGTGTAATCCAAGCACATCTCCGAACATCGCTCGCAAATTATTCAAGTTTTCCGCAAGAACCCCACGGTTAACTTATCGTGCGCCAGGTGGTGACCCGGAAACTAAGGAAAGGAGTCGGTGATGGGGCGGACGGGCCCACTACCCTCTTAGCACCGGCCGATGACCGGCTCGGTTTGTATCGCACGTCAACAACCCCTTCACCGCGACTCTCTCCACGATCGATGAGGCTGATCGATCCAACCACAGACCTTCCAATGGAAGAGGTTGGATTTGACTTGATGCGGCTGACTCGGACCTTCAGACTTCTGGGGTCTCTCGAACAAGCCGATGGTTTCCAGAGGCCGTGGCTGATGGAGTCAAAGTGGTCTGGGACGTACGTCCCTACAGGCTGTTCCTGATACCGTACGTGCCGTAAGGTAGTCATCATCTTCCGGCTGTGGGAGATGTGAGCGACCCTGAAGCCCTCTTGAAATATGCGACCATAACCCCCAAAGTAATTCCCTACTCCGACTACAAGAATTTGACACGTAGCACACACCATCTCCAGGATTCGATGGTGATGAAAGCAACCACCCTCGTGTCACTCCAGCCGTTTGGCGTAGGTACTTGACCACGCCAGCTCCGTCATGGGCTGAGTCACAGCTGAACCAGATGAACTATATGTCTCAAACTCCGCATATCCACTTGCGACTTCCTCGAAAAAGTCGTAGGCAGCTGGCAACGTCGTCTATCAAAGTGTTACCCCAGGCACCATGAGTAATTAAGATGCGGAGTGAATGGCTGAGAAGCCGCTTGCTGGTGTCTCTTTTCAGGGCACATACTCCGTACACTGTTTCTTACTGAGAAGGCGTACAGGAACGGGGTCTGGTATACGTTGAGAATTGACAGCTTCGTCACAATATTCAGGGTATGCATCAGGTCGCGCAATGGTCAATTGGGAAGCGGGAAGTTTGTTTGAAATCTGATTGACGTCTTCGTCTAAGTAGGTCTATCTTCATGACAGGCGGGTGCTATTTACAACGACAGGGCCACATCGATCTGCTGCTTTGTCTCGCAGTGGGAGATGTGCTCTGCGTATGGGGGGATATATACGTCCAACAATTAGACAAAATGTCTTCCCAGGAAACCTGAGAGACCAGAAAAAACTGCCCGAGGCAACCGGAGAGAGAGTGTGTCCAGAGTCCACTTTTTCATCCCATGTGTTCAGCCCCAAAGAGTTGGTGTGTGAAATATGTACACAGTTAGAAGAGAGCGAGCCATTAGTGACAAGGCATCGGCCGTGAGAAGCATGTCCATGTCGATCTGATCCTGATGATCCGCAAAATAAGGAGATGGTAAAAAACACTGCGCTTTTCCCCGCTTGGTACCGTTGACGCCCAAAGACTTGAAAATCATGTCCACCCCGGATCTTTCGTGGGGTATCTTTCTTCTTCTCTCTACCACGTAAAACTCTCCTCCACAAAGTCGACCACTGTGCCCTCGTCTTGCACCTCTCTCACCGCAGATCTCACATCGTCAGCGAGAGCGCCGGGGCCGCAGATGTGGACGCACATGGCGCCCTGCTGCTCCGACACCTCACGCTTCATAATCAGAGGAATGTTGGGGCGACCAGGGAACATCTGGACTGTGTTGGATGCCGAAACAATCTGCTGAGAGTTCTGAGGGCGAGTGATGTACAGCTGGATACGGAGGATGTCCTTTCGGTTGGGGAGGCGAAGAATGGTATCCATCCAGGGACGAACCCACTCAAGAGCCTCATAGTCACGGACGATCCAGACGAGGGTGATGCGTCTCGTGGCAACACTGCCGTTGTTGTAACCATCGATGAGGGGCTTGAGGTAGGAGATACCGTGGGTGATACCAGTAGCGCCGGCGAAGAGCACGGCGTGACCATATGAGTCGAGCGAGTGGTGGCCACTGTAGGGACCTTCAACACAAGCCTTCATGCGGATGGCGCGGTCACCGCTCTGGCGGGCGACGTTGTAAAGATCACGAGTAAAGCCGCTCTGAGCACCGATGATGAAAGAGATGGAGGTCGTCGTGTTCTTCTTGTCAATGGCAGTGAGCGTAGCCTTCTCCTCGTCCACTCCAAGAGGCAGCGAGCGGTGGTCAGGAATATGCTCAACCCAGCCGATGGAGAATGGGTGGCAATCCCAGGGGCGGATGTCCTTGAATCTCAGGTAGGCGTGAGTGCCCGGCTTGACGTCGACGTAGCGAGGGAGGTTCATGGTGACACGAGTGCACTCGCCAGGAACGGCTTCGACAATGGCATCGGTGGTACCGCGGTCAGACCAGTTCATGTAAGCGACACGAACAATGCGGGCCATACGCTCAAGGAACCAGAGAATGAAGATAGCAATCATCCAGGGGAGTTGAGGTAGGCCACCCGGGAGGCCAGCGACGGCGCAGTGGATGTAGGTCATCAGGAAGATGAAGAATGCGAGGATGATGTGGACGTTGAGGAAGGTCTCGTAGAAGGCGTGGCGAACGGGCGAGAACGACAGGATCATGATGACAATGAGAGCAAGCGTACCAGCCATGCCCGAGCCGATGAAGAGCTCGTTGGACATCCTATGCCAAACGCCATCCCATCCGCTGTCGGCGATCTGGACAATCAACCAGGCAATAGTGTGAAGGACAGCCTCGATGACAGACATGCGGCCAACCCAGCGGTGAAGAAGGTTGTAGGTGTCGAAGCTGACGTGAAGCATGCCGATCAATGGGTTGTTGCGGCCGGCAAGAATGATGAGCGGCACCATGTTGACGACAGAGAGCGTGCCGGAGCGACCACGGAGTTCGGCGCAGAAAGAGTACAAGTTGGCATTCTCCCAGTTCAGGAAAAACATGTAGACCATGTTGCTGGCGATGTAGAATCCGAGGATGACGCTGTGCATGCGAGAGGGCAAGGTGCCGATGCCGATAGCGCTCGAGAGCTTGATCTCCTTGTTGTGGCGCTTATTCCAGAGGGGGGCGTACATGAGATGTTTCTTCAAGCTGGGCATCCAGTTCCACTGAGCCGTCTTCCAGTAGTTTTGCCTCTCACCCTCAACCGACATGGCCGAGACATGACGAAGCTGGGCCCAAAGGATACGGCTGATGGTGATAACCAGGACGACAATGGCCATTCCACCGAAGCTAGCCCAAAGCATGTCCTTGAACAGCATGTTGACGGGCTGGTTTACACCAGCGAGGTTGGAGTGGTAAGGAGAGATGGTGGAGGTGGCCTCGGCCGCCCCTGTCGTGGCAGCGGCATGAGCACGCTGTTGAAGGATCTGGGTGGGGATAAGATCCGCCACCAGGCCAGCGATCCTGCGCCGGTGAGAGTCCATCTGGTCAGATGTGTTGTTTTTGTTTGCTGTGAATCTCAAAAGTCGAGTATGAAAGGTGAAGGAGTCTTCGTTTCTCACGAGGACGTGAGATAGATAGCCTCGATCGGTTGGGCTAGGCTAATTTGCTGGAATGGTCCGGCAGGCGCGAGAGCGAGAAGTCGGATTGTTATCGAGAAGGGCCGGTCGGTTACAATGTCATTGTGCTTCGGGTCGAGAGCAAAGTGACAAAGAAAGAACGGGGATAGCAGGCCTGATCCGAATAAGTGAAGCGGAAGCCTTTGTAAGTATCAGCACAGTGTCGACGGTGACGTGTGATGAGTCGAGGTGGTGCAGGAGACCGAGTCACTGAGGAATGCGTCCAACCTCGAGGTGAGTGATGTGCGAAGCTGTATGACGGAGCGTCAAGTCAACCAGGGGAAAAAAATCCGGATGGTCGTTGCGTCGATACCCTTGTGCTGATCGTTTGCCTGGAAGCGAGGGCGGTCGGTGTATTGGCGATCCAAATGAGGTCAAGGTCGATCTGTATCTGGCCGAGCAGCAACCGGTTGAACAAATTGAGAAAAAGGCAGGTGGCTGAAGTTGACGTATGAGAAGACGGGGGACGAAGCAACGTCAATATATTGTGCGTCTCTCAGGTGGTTCTTCGCAGTGTCTCGTGCCGCGTCCTTTTCGGAATCGTGGAGCCGGAATCCCTTCTGTCGAGTGTGGAGAAGTTGGGCAGGTGAGGGTGATGGGGATTTTCAAAAAAA